GTCTTGGGCGAGGACGGGGCGCCGGCGCCGCCGCCCCCGGGCTCGCGGCCTGCAGGTGGGTGCCAGGCAGGGCCGGACGGGATCCAGGGACGTCCCCTCTCCTCGTCCTCCAGAGCTCGCCCCTTCCTTGGTTCCCTGGTTGTCCTGGCATTAGTAACCCCGTGTGTGTGTGTGTGTGTGCGCGCGCGCGCCTGTAGTGAGTGAAGAGCGGATTTAAATCGCTGAGGAGGCGTGTGGGTTGCTGCGACGTGGAAGTGAGTGGGGAACTCAACTCAGGGACGCCTGTGGCGGGTAGACGCTCGGAGCTTTGGAGGCCGAGGAGGTTTTGGAGGCTGCCCAAGTGGCGTCTGGTTGTCGCTGTTTTGCCAGCGTGGTGGAGAGAAAATGTTGTCTCCGTGAAGTGTAGTTGCATTTGATTTTTTAACTATTTCTGATTTTTAAAAAATCATTTTGAAAGATGCACATTCTTGAAGTGTAGGACCTCTGTAAAATTCGTGCACTTTAATTTAAATGTACTTTGCTAGGAGAGTACAGCTTTCGCGTTAACAACTTCCACCCGCGCAAATGTATGGCCCACTGTTAATTCGAAGTGTAACTATAACGGGACTTCTTGAAAACCGAGTTTCCTTGTTTGAGGAAAATTTTTCGAAAGTTTATTTTTTTCCTCCCCAAGTGGGTTGCCTTTTTTATAATTCATAGAAAGGTCTGTAAGTCGATGTTTTAAGATAAACCTCTCCTCGGAAGATACTTTAAAGGAGATTGTGAATTGAGACGACTGGGCATCGTAATGCTTGCAGGGCAGACGAATCAGGAAATAGAAATAGGATGACTGGGGACTTAGAGTTCTTCTGTGACCTGGTTTGGAAAACTGTGGTTCATTAAGTTCAGTTCCCCTATTACATACACAGGCAAGCGTCAACAAGGAGATGGATAAGAGTAATCCCATTTATTCTTTGCGGATGTTAGTTGAATTACTTAATCTTGTTCATACTGACTGTTCTGTAGAGTTACATTGAATAAATCTTTGATTTTGAGACATAAGGATTCTGTCGGTAGTACTTTTTTTTAGGAGGGAAGAAGTTTTTGCTATAGGAGGGGTGTCCTCGCCAGAAAGACAGAGACAGATAGAAAGCAAGAAATCTCACCCCCCCGGGGGATGGCCACTCTGCAATCCCTTCTCCATTTGCCTCTCGAGATCTTGGGCATGCATGCACAAGTGCTGGGTGTGAGTTTAAGCCACCAGGTCCAGCACTCAAAGCGGGGTCCACTGTGTGGGAGTCCAGCAACATAGCCATTATGCCCCTGCTGGTCCCAGGTAGTACTTGTTTTTTTTTTTTTTTTTTAATTAGTACTTTTAGCCTTTATAGGATAGATGTCTTTCTCAGCATAATAAATAATTCATATTAGTTATGTATTGACTGTGTTTATTTTGAATTTTAATAATGTAATTTGAGCATTTGTTATATTGAAGATACTGTTAAGTACTTCGTAGTGTTATGATGAAGCCAGAAGGACTGAAACTCCACAAGGAGTTTAGGAAATGGACACACTTAGTCCAAGTAACTACGCTGCTCGACAGACCGTAAATAGTGATGCATTGTATAATAGAGGAAGTAATGGGAAAAGTGGCATTGTAGAGATGGTGACAGTGAATTGTACTTAGAGTATTGGGACTTAAAAACAACCTGTTTGAATGAGTATTTTTATTGTAAAGAAAAAAAAAAGTTGATGTTAGCAAACTTTTATTGGACACAAACTTCAATGTACCCTGTTAAATACCAATAAAGATGTCAGCTAAACAAATGATTAATAAAGGATTGTTATCATGTAGAAGTTGTATGTACATTGAAAATATTAGATAACATTTAAAAGCTATGAAAATGACTTTTTAAAAAATGATTTATGTCGTACACAAAAATTTTTGATAATATAGGGCCTAGAGGGAATTGAGGTTTGTAACTCGTAACTAAAAAGGTAACCTTAAGCAATTTCTTTTCTTTTTTTTTTTTTAAGTTTTATTGCCAGAAGGTATGTGTGTTTGCCAGAGCGAGACAGAAGGAGGGGATGAAAGCACCCTCCATGTGGCAGTCCCTTCACCATTTCTCCATCTTGTCAGTGTCTTGGGCATGCACGCACATGCTCCAGCATGTTTTTCAAGTTATAGAGGTTGGGACACAACTGCACAGTCATCCATGTGGGATTTCGTTTCCTTAACCATTAGGCCACAGGGCCAGGCCTTGAGCAGTTTCATTTGTGATAAAAGTCTACTTTAAAAGATTGTAGCAGGTAATAAGTAATTTTATTTTCCGCTTTTGCCATAAGATGTGTGTGCTCCTACTCTCTAGAGAGTGACAGAGTGAGAAATCACTTCCTGGGGGAATGGCCACATCACAGTCGCTTCTTCTCTATTCTCCTTGGGATTTTGGGCATGCACACGCAAACATGGCATGATTTTTCAAGCTGCCATTTGGAGACTCGAACCGTGATCAGCCGTTTGGGAGTTTAGAGTGCCTTAACCATCATGCCACCTGTTCGCCCTGTTGCAGATAATTTTTAAGTTTTTTCCCCCTCAATATGAAATCACATGAATAAAATAAACTACATTTTAAAAAAAAGAATTATTTAACTTTGTTGTTGTTTTGAGAGATTTCTGCTATATGCGCGTGCACTCGCCAGAAAGACAGAGAGACAGATGCAGTGAGAAATCACCCCCCAGGGGGGATGGCCACACCGCAGTTCCTTCTCCATTCTCCTCTCAGGATCTTGGGCATGCACGCAAACATGCCTGGCTCAGGATCTTGGGCACGCACGCAAACATGCCTGGCATGAGTTTAAGCCACCGGGTCTGGGACTTGAACTGCAGTTGACTACATTGGAGTCCACAGAGAGAGAGAGAGAAAGGGAAACTGAGAAAGCAAGCCCCCTGGTCCAGGACTCAAACTGTAGTCAGCCATGTGGGAGTCCAGTGCCCTTAACGCCACCTGCCTGCTCCAATAAACTTTTTTTTTGAGAGAGTTTTCTTGCTATAGGACATGCCAAGGAGACAAGAAATGAGAAATCACCCCCCCTCCCCCAAATGCCTTTCCACAGTTCCTCCTCCATTCTTGTCTCAGGATTTTTGGCATGCACACACACGTGCCTAGCATGAGTTTCAAGCCTCCAGGTCCAGGACTCGAACTGTTGTCGGCCCTGTGGCAGTCCAGTGACATAACCGTTACACCATCTCCTGGTACCCCAGTAAGCCATCTTAAAGTGAACAGTTGTCATTCTCAGTATTGTGTCTCCACTTCTGTCTAGCTTTTAAAAACCCAAAGGAAAATGTGGTACCCATTAAACAGTTGCTCAGTCTGCCCCTCCCCCATTTCTAGCCCCTGATATCTGCAAACTGGGGTCTGTCACTATGGATTTACCTGTACTGAATATGACCAGTAGTATATGACCTGTGTCTGACTTCACTTACTTAACATGTTTTCTAGGTTCCTTCAGTTTGTAGCATGTGTCAATACTTCATTCCTTTCTGTGGCTGAATAATATCCCTGTGTGGTGTGTGTGTGTGTGTAACATAATCGGCTGAATAATATTCCTGTTTGTGTGTGTAAGTAACATAATTGATTTATCACTTCATCCATTGATGAACATTTGGGCTATTTCCACTTCTTGGCTGTTGCGATAATGCTAGTATGAATACCTAACAGCCAGTTTTTACATTATTTTGAGAAGATACATATTCAATTCATAGCTAAGACTTAAAAATTACTTGCTGGGGCCAGCAGTGGTGTGGTGGTTAAGGCACTGGACTCCCACATGGTCAACCATGGTTCAAATCCCAGACCTGGTGGCATGCTCTCTCTCTCTTACTCCCACTGATGAGGGCATGTTCTCTATAGCAAATTGAAAGTAATGATGGGGCCAGCAGGTGGTGTGATGGTTTAGGTGCTGGACCTCCCCCCCCACCCCCCTACACACACACATGGGTGACCATGGTCACTCCTAGATCTGGCAGCTTGCTTTCTCACTTTCCCTCTCTCTGCCTCTCACTGGTGAATTAAATAACTATAATAAGTAAAATTAAATAAATCTTCAATAAAAGATAATAATGGGACCAGCAGATAGTGTAATGGCTGTTGCTGGACTCCCATATAGTTGACTGCAGTTCGAGTCCTGGACCTGGTGGCTTAAACTCATACCGGGCACGTGTGCTTGCGTGCCCAAGATCCTGAGGGAGAATGGAAGAGAAGGAGTTGAGGCCGTCCCCTCTGGGGGATGATTTCTCACTTTCTGTCTGTCTCTCTTTCTGGGGAGCACACACACCCTATAGCAAATACCTCTCCTCCCCCAAAAAGACAATAATAATAAATAAAATGGAATAAATCTTAAAAGAATTACTTATTTACAAAGTTAATTTTGGTTTTGTAACTATAACTAAGTAATTTGAAGGAAACAGGTGGATTAACTGAAATGCATTTAGGATGACATGTAGTTAAGTTGGCCTTGGTAGAATGCAGATCAGTATTGGATTATCCCAGTGTGTTTACCTGTTTTTGGATTCTCTTTGTCACTGGAATGAATGTTTCTTGAGAACAGAGATAGTGCCTTTTTTCATAGTTGTGTTATCAGTGCCTCTAGTTCAATGCCTTTACATACTAGACACCCAGTATTTGTTGAATTAATGAATTTAAATTAAATTTTGAGTCAGTGCTCTCTTCTTTTTATAGATGAGTTAGGCTGTTGTTACTGGTGAGATCCATAAAATAGCAGATAGTGGTAATTTCAGGCTGCAGTGTTTTACATCTTCCTGAAGGTTTGGAGAGTACTTGTATCACATCTAAGTTTCTATACAGGGAAATTCTTGAAAACTACGTGGTGAGGGAAGTAGATGGAAAGTAAGAACAAGACAGGGGGCTGAATTTAGTGAATGTCCTAAACAAGATTTTTTTTTTTTTGCTATAGGGCACATGTGCTCACCAGAAAGACAGAGAGAGACAGAGAGATAGAAAGTGAGAAATCACCCCCCCATGGGGATGGCCACGCTGCAATCCCTTCTCCTCCATTCTC